ATTTTCTTCAGCAAGTTCATGGAGGAAAACAGCGCCTGCTTTCTTTCTTGTGGTATAAAATTATTGTAGACTATAACTATGCATGCTTCAGTATGAAAATTATATTTTTATAATTTATATTATATCACAATTGTAGAGCTTTCTCTTCGTGTATTCAACAAGAAAAAACAAAACTACATTCAAAATAATTTCATAATCATGAACCACAGGTTTATATATTTCTAACATATAAATCCTAAAGTCTTTCTGCTGAAAGTATTTCAGATTATCTTCAATCAACTACTTGCTATTATAGTCATGCGAGCAAACTGAAGCTATTTCAATGAGCTGCCTGAAGTTCCCTTCTTACCCTCACCAGAAAATGAAAAAAACAAATGCTATGTTGTCAGAAGTCTTCATCTCTCACACTTGACAAACCGAAAATATGTTCTTTTCATTTAAGGGTTTTTTTTCTTCACGATGTAAGGCTTGCCCCTTTGATTTTATAAAGGAAAGAAAGAGATTTAAGAATAACACCAATTGACAAAGGCAAACTAGTAAATAAAACATTTAAAAAAATAATTAAAAGGTAGCAGTGATTTCAAAGACAAGTGTTTCATGGTTGGTTGTCATCATTTATTGGAAAAGCCAAGTGTGTATCGATGTAGCATTTCACTGATTACTATGACTTGAGAGAATGTGAGAATAAACCAAGAGAGTAATCAGTAAAATATGTAAGACTGGGAGCAGAGGGCACCTGTTGCCATAGATTTTAAAAACCGTGTCTTCAAAGACATGAAAGAACAAACACAAAAATACTACGCTATTGCTCTGGTCTCAAAGTCACCAGAGAGAGGCTAGAACTAAAAGGAATGATGATCCTGAACTAATTGGATTTTAAATAAGATCAAAAGGCAGCGTGCATTATCCAGAAATGGAACAGTCTAATTTAGTAATTACGGGATCCACTGCCATTGATTCCATCACAGCTCTCATTGTTTCAGGCATCATCAGATCCACCCCCACTTCCCCTGGGATGGCACAGCCTTCTCGTTTTTTGCTGTTAGGAAACTTCCATCAATGCTTTGTTTCAATTTCTCATTCTCTCTTATTTCCTTTCTATGATCCCCTTTGCTGAGTACAGTTCCAATCGATAGAATAAAATGGTATCCGTAAATATAATTTGGAAATTATTACACATATCTTCATTTCTGGTAAATTCTGCTTTGGGCCTGTAAACTTTAACCCTTTTATTCTTCTCCATAAGCTAAATCACAAGAATAAATAAAATAAAAGGAAAACAATTTATCATTCATCACAACATGTACAGAGAAATAAATAGAATGGAAGCAGACTGCCACTGGACTTCCAATATTGAATAGAACACTTGAACGGACTCTAAAAATCTAGCCTGGCAGGGTGGCTCATACCTATAATTCTAGCATTTGGGAAGTGCATGAGCATCATTTGAGCTCAGGAGTTGGAAGCCAGCCTGGGCAACATTGAGACCTTGTTTCTACTAAAATTTAAAAAAAAAATAAATTAAAATTCACAGTGAGTTTTATATTTTAACATCTGGAAGGATTTTCTGTACATTTCATATTGACAGGCTCCTTTATATTTTGTCCCTGTGTACAGAGACTCGGTAAAGACCTGTAGTTAAAACTGGTGGCACTAGGGCCAGATTGTAGATTTACAACCTGTATCTGACACTAACTTGCTCCGTCACCATGCTCAAGTCACTCATTATCCTTATACCTTAGTCTCTGTAACTATAAAAATGGGACAGTAGTATCCATTTCATAGTCTGGTAATGGATCAATGAGGTAAACATTGTAAGTGCATGGAACAGCATTTGATGCATAGAAGGTACACAAGAATAATTCACTATCATTATTTGCTATCATGATTATTCATTGTTATTACTGCATCATTATTGTACCATTCCTTATTTATTATTATTATTATTGCAGTCTACGGAATTCTCATGAGAAATATATCCATCCATCTGTCTGATGCTAAAACTAATTATTCATGGCCTTAGACACTTTCTCAGAACTCACTACTTCAAGGAAGTAACGAGAAACACCTTCCTTCTAAGAAATAATTTTTACTGCATCCTAACACCTCACCTTTTCTTGTCATCTTTCTTTCATTCATCCAGTATTCACGTAATATCTATTGGGTGACTTAATATGCTCTAGGCACCAGGATATTGCAACATGACAAACTACAGATTATATTTTGGTCCTTTCATAACAAGTTTTAAGGTTATTATTTAATGTCACAATTAGTACCAGGAGATACTTGATATTCCAATGTATCAAGTTAGCTTACCAAGAAACGTGATGTATAATAAAATTATTGCTACTTTTCTAGATTAGGTTTGTGCTACTTCCTTGATAATATATTTTAGTTTCTATTTGACTTCAAGACAAATATTTCTAGAAACTGAATATTTTTACTGTGTATTGATACTTCAGGAAAAAATAATTTGGTTGCCTTAGAAATGGTCTCTTTGCTTACATATCTCGACAGTTACTTAGGTCAGCATATACTTTTCCCATTGGCTCCAGGGGTTACATTTCAGAAAACTGGAAGTATAGTATTTGGAGTTTCTCATGTTTATAGCTTTCTGTTCTCCCAGGGAAAAAACAAGAAATCCATTTTGTTGACATTCAAGACATGATGCTTTGCCATGCTGAAAAACAAAGTATTTATAAAACAAGGGCTAAATTTAGATTTAGGAAACTCAAGTTTCCAGCCATGAGGGAATAACAGGGTTTGAAATTAGCCTCCTGCCATAAACAACTAGAAAACTGAACAAAATGTAGGAAATAACTATTTTTACACTTTGAGCAGCAGACAGCACAGCACTACGATCCTAGACAGAAAAGAGCTGAAGAAATGAGACTTATTGCTGCCCAGGCTTTCTGCCTAGAGAAAATTTCTTTACTGCAATGCAGGGATGGGAAAGATCCAAGTAGAGCCTGCTGGTCTCCCTGAGTGAAGAGGTGGGTAGAACTTGCAGGGCATTTACAGGAGGGAGCTATACAGAGGAAGAGTTCCAAAAACACGCATTGCAATTCCTTGAATCTTCGGCTTAATATCAACCTCTGCATGCATGGAGTGAATCCCCAGAAGTCTAGGCAACAGGAACTTCTGCAGAAACGACGATTACTGGAGAGTGGGTGCTGAATACTATTCAGAGTTTACACATGGCCAAGAATTGTTGAAATTTCCCCTAACCAGAATAGAGACACCTTGAATCATCAAAATATTCAATAGAGACCATGAAAGGAGAGTCATGCCTCAGAAACAGTGCTGAATTAGCATTAGGGAAAAAGGATACTCTAGGCCTATCCAAAATGAACTTGAAGTCTCAAAAAGACAAAGCTTATCCACAAGTAACCTATTGCCCACCAGAATAAAGTCTTACTGGAATATCACAAAAGCCAGCAGTCAGCAACATAAAATTTATAAAATCTAGAATTTATTAGATTTAATATTATAGCCATGAGGTTATTTCGGGAGGTAAATATGGATTCATTAGTGCTTTCACCAATAACTGCTTTTTCAAGCACAAATTAAGCATATACTTCTAAAGGCACTTCAAATTAGGTCACAGTAGCCTCTCTTTTTTATGCCAGAGTGACGAATCATGCCCTAGACTGTAGTTGCACCCTGTTGGAAAATGCAGGGAGAAAACTGTGGAACAAAGGCTAGAGCCTTACTAATGCACATGTTGCATAAGTAAGGAATAAGTTTTATTGTTTTCAGTGTTTGAGATTTTCACGTGGTTGTCAATCTCCGCATAATTAGGTAATCGTTATGGATACAGTAGAATGGAACTAACAATGAAAAAGAACACTTATCAAATTTCTTAACTGTAAGAATATTAGCATTTGATTTATTTCAGTGTTTCCTGAGTTTCTTCTAATATGTTTAGGAATTTTTGAGTTAAAAAAACCTTATTGCTAAATGGCTTCCTTTTATTCTACTTCCTGTTATTATACTACCTCCTCAGTTTCTTTAACCTGCTGAAATGCCTTTGGACTGTTTAGTTAGAGGCCATCTGATGTGTGATGCTTCCAAATTTAATTGTCCACTCTTGATTTTCAAAGTGTTTCCAGCACAAGTGGTCCGTGGAATGTTGTGCTCCTTTTGAAAATATTGAAATAGTTTCATGCCCTCATTTCACAATTGAAAAAACTGAAGTTAATAATTAATATGTAAATCATACAACTAGAACCCAAGTTTCTTAGTTCTCACTCTTATGCTGTCTGCCACACACTGCGTTGCATTACAGTAAAGGAAAAAGGTTACATTTTTTTTCTTCCGGGATAAGTGCTTTCATAGAGAAGTGTGAAGATTTAAGAAAGTTAAATTCCTCAAGATCTTAGATTTGCAGTCTTTCTTGGATAAAATAAAAGACAAGATAATTATATTTTACATTATGTATTTCATGAGAGTTAATCTATATTGATAAAAGTAAAAAAAAAGTCAAACAAAATTTAACTAAGTTTCATTGACAGTGGGGTCATCTGAGCTTCAAGTTGTGGCTTAAATGCCACCTTCTCAGAGCACCTATCTTAGAATTTTCTAGATGACATTGCACATCTTCACTCCATCGACCAGGCTTGGAAGTCCATAGGCCCCCTTCCTGCTTTGTTTTCCACCATAAACTTCTGATATTCTTACATAGCGCATGTTTTCCATGTTTACCATCTGTCTCCTTCCCCAGTAGAATAAAATCAGCACAATGTGCAGTTGTTCTCAATGTATACTTGGCAGCCAGAATGGTACCTGGCATATTGTAGTCACTCAATAAATATGTTTAAATTGATGAATGTATTTTTTATTTATCTCATGTAGCTTATAGGAATTTGAGTACAATAGTTGACTTCCAATGAAATGCAGCTTTACTGTGTCATTTGGGAAGCATCGTATAACAGGATATGTAACTTGTTTACTAAATCTGATCAAATACCTGGTATTCAGAGAATACAGAATAAAGTCTGGTGCTTGTTTCAGCAGCACATACACCAAAATGGAACAATACAGAGAAGATTAGCATAGCACCTGCACAAGGATGACACACAAATCAGTGAAGCGTTCCATATTTTTCTGCACATGTATCCCAGCACTGAAAGTAAAATAAAATAAAATAAACCAAAATCACAAGTCTGGCTACTCAAGAGAGTTTTCAGAGCATGATCTCAAAACAGATGTGAAATAGGTAAATAGATCTCTAAGCTCCTTTTTAGGTAAAATATTCCCAGTAACTTCCTACTTTCATCTAGTTGCCCAATTCTCTTACTTCTAAAAGTGATTCCATATACCTTTTTTATAAATATCCTGAGCTTTTTTTAGTGCATTTTAAAACTTCGATCTGCTTTACATTTTGCCTAACTGGTCCTGGTCCTGGCCCTTCAGAGTCGTCTTGTCTCCTAAATAAAGCTAGAAATCCCCATCATCCTAATCACATGGTTTGCTCAGATGTGCTTGCTGAATTTCATAACCTCACTCCCCCTTGTAAACTGGTGAGGATGTATTCATGAGCATGGAGTCCATTTTTACTTTTAAAACCATATTCATGACAGAAAACACACACCAAAGCAAGACTTTTCTTAAACTCTTGCTCAATTCAATATTTTAGAAAATGTTGTAAAAATAGAGGAAGGTGATTTCATTACAAGATTGGAAAAAGCATCTCTATCTATGACCATCTTCTATCCCTACATCTTGTTTCTAGTCAAATAAAAATGTGATTATCCCAAAGTGGCTGGACAGGAAAAGGTTTCTATTTCAAGTTAATTCGGATAGATATTCTGTTTACTCTCCCTGGTTTTAATACATGTTCTGTAAACACCTATCTATATCCAGCGAACAGTGTACATACAAGTATAAACCATGGAAATTCTGAGAGTGGAAGAAACTGGAGGCAAGGTGTAGATCCCTCAGAATCTGTGGTTCTCCAGTGTATTCTCAAACGTGTGTCAGCCAACTGTTGGATATGTGGCTGCAGTGATACATCAAAATTCATGATTTCCTTTCTCTATATTTTCGGAGGATTTTCTCTTCCCAAGAGAACCTCTTGTCTTAAATTGGAGAAATTATTTATTGGATATAAATTTATGCTTCCAGTGTCAAAGTTAGCGAATTTTAACTAATTCATGTTGCTTACTGCACCGTTTTGAGAGGACTGTTTCCTTTTTTTAATGTAAGCAGTAACCAGAAAGATGACACATTTTGTCTTCTTTCTACACCCAAATGTAAATAATTATGATAACCTCTTGCTATGTGGGAGGCGGCTGTCTAGTGTGATCATTAAATTACAGCTGTTGTATTGTATTCGCCTTGGTTACTGTTCATCCTAATTCGATAGACTGAATTGTATGTGATGCAGAAAATTCCTATTTGTACTCACAAAATATAGTTTAGCAAATTGCTCTGTGACACTGCTCATTTTATTTCCTGAACATTTGTGGTGGGAAATGACTACAGTCCTTATTATTACTATTGCTATTATTACAGAGTTCTTCCTTATAAAGAGACTGAAACCTTTTATAAATGTTAGTCTTATGAAGAAACACATACAAGTGAGGAAAGTCGAGTGTTATTTCACTAGTTCACTCTGGAGAAGTTGATATATAAAGGTTGATAACCTTCTTCAACATCACTCATCCTGTTAAGGATGGAATCAAAGACAGAAATTGCTTCCCTCAATTTGTCGATGCTATTTTATCTGCTGGATTATACCTGGATCCAACTACAACTCTTCCAAATGGTAACTTTTTGAGCCAGACTGGCTCTAAGACATACAGAAATTCTTTCACGTTATTTTCCCCTTCTATAACTCAATGTCTGCTCAGTCCTAGGTTAACGCAGGCCTCCCCCCTGGAGAACACAACAATTGTTAGTGTCATACTCAGTGATATGTACATTCTGACAATGCTACTGATCCTGGGAACCATGATTCATATTTTATTGCCACCTTACTGGTTTGCTTTTATGACTGGTTTTATTGCTGCCATATATTTATTCAGAATGCATCATTTTGAAAATATAAACCTTAAAACAAGAAAGCAGTTGAGGAGAAAAATAGAATGTTTGCTTCTTTGGAATGAGTTTAACAAACTGTGTATTTCAGAACATTTCTACTCTTCCAAATTTATTTCTTTGAATGAGCTCTCCCACCCCCACCCCAAGAAATAAAGACGTTATAAATAGAAGCAGAGATCATGAGAGCTAGACAGAATCTTAGAATTAGTGTTTCAAATACTATCACTTTGCAGATGAGCAAAAGGAGGTCTAGAGCAGGTGGAAAGTGATGTGACCAAATTCATACTGCCAGTTAAGTTGTAAAGAAATGCCAGCTATCCTTCCTCAGCCCCTCCCAGTCTAGACCTATTCTCCACCTTTCTCTGCCTCGTAGAAGGGGCGCTCATTGATTGATAGCAAACCCATGGATTGTTTGCAGTTCATTGAGCAGGGTGTCATGGGGACAGAGAAGGGGTTCAGAGAAACAAAAAGATATTTTTACCTAGGGGGAGGTTTGCTGATATCGCCATTGCTGGGTTTAAATCCTGGAAAGATAGAAAAAGCACAGAAAGCTTCCAAAAAATAGGAGATGTTCATTCTGTATTCTTAGATGCTGTTGTAGGGATCTCACAGGATGAGAACCTTAATTAAGTTTTAATCAATCAATAAATAAAGCATAAAGTATACAGTAAGTGTGTAATATCCATGCAGCACTATACTCCAGAAAGTAGGTGAGTCAAGAAAAGTAGAGACTGAAATAAATGGCTTTTGTTTTAGTATTCCCATTCACCATCATGTACAGAGGATTCTTGTGTACAAAATGGGAAAATAATCTCACAACATGATTGAAAGAAACAATGAGAAAATTGAGGTTATGTGACTTAGGAAAATATCAAAGAGTAATTGTTCTATAATGTTATTAAAAATTTACATTAAAAGAAATGTATATTTATAAAAATACAATCTACTGAAAGTGCCTAAGGCAAAAGGTATCTTTGATTATAATCTTACATATGCAGTTGAATTGTTTTACCTACTTAGCTGTATCTGGGCTACCTTAGAAAGTGACTTGTCCCAGACACTTTCTAGAGAAACTTTGCAATATTATAAATGACTCATATTCCACTTAGAAACTTTAGCTCTGAGATATTTTCTATACCTATCTTATCTTTCATGTCCTATAAAACCCATTAAAAATGTATGTGTACATTTTTGCCCTAGTTAAATATGACCACTTTTGTTCATTGACCCTGATTTGTTTATTCCATGATGCTTACTAAAAAAAAAAAACAAACAAAAAAGTAACATTTAAGTTTTAGTTCATTGTGAATTTCTGCCTACATTGTCTTAGGTAGAAATTGTTTCCCAATTTAACAATAGACAATAAACATCAAGAAAACCCTGAGAATTTTTAAATAAACTGCCTATTTTTGTATCATTGAGTTAAAAATTGATGGCATTAAAATGAAAACAGGCTCTGCTATTTTTGTACTAGAAAATTGTTTTTAAAATCACATGATACTGAGTTTAAAATTATTATCTTGAATGAACTTTTGTACACTGTTGATCAATGTAAGCATTTAAACTAGATAAAAATTAAATAATTTTCCTTTCAAATTTTAAAAGGTGAATTCTAACTTATTTTTTAAAACAATATAAAATATTTTGTGTTTTTAAATTATCTTAAGGCTTTTTTCCATTCTTCAGAAGGTCCCATTTAGGAGATCATAAATATATATACACATTTATAAACACAGAGAAAACCCCCAGAGGACCACCTTGAATGCTAGAAAGAGATTGCAGAACATAACATCCAATTTCACAGATAAAATGTAAATGAAGTCAGCTGTAATTGATATATAATTAGATTTTGTTATTATTTAAAAATTTCACTAAAAATTATTGTATATTCTGTATGTAAATATTTTCCATTTTTGTTGGTTTCATATTTGTCCTTTTTTTAAAAGAACTGTATTTGTTTATTCCATTTCATTTAATTTGGCAACCAGTATACTGTCTCCACTACATAGGGCAATACCCTGTATTTTATCTTACAACTAACAAACTCGCTTTACAATGTTAATAAGAAACGCATGTCTCTTTTTATCATATCTATTTTACACTCACACATACACACACACTTTGCCATAGTTTACTTCTTACTTATTTTCTTGTCACTTTGCCTCTTTAGGTCTACTGCCACTCTGCTTTGTTTGGAGATATGCCCTCTTTGGACCCTGCCCTGATGTTTCTGGATCTCACAGCCCCCAGTGCCATGCTCCTTTCTTTCAGAATAGTTCACTGAACTGTAGCTGTGTGGGAATTGATTGGGAGTGCATCTGTAGCTTGGCACTCAGCGGGGAAGTGCTGCCAACCCAGTCATCAATATGTGCTCCCACGCAGCTGGCTCCTCTTAAGTCCACTCTAAGATTCTATATCAGAAACATCAGAGTGAGAATATGCTTTCTGGAATTGAGAGATGTGCTCTCTATACCTCACTGATTTTTTTTTTCTTTTCTTTTGATGGTACTGGAACAAGACACACAAAGAATAAATTCGAGTCATAAGCAAGAAGACCAAAAAAATTAACTCATGTTCTATCATTGCCAGTTGATGTGACTATAAAAACCTGGGACAATTACTCTGTTAATGACTTCACTGAGGGTAAGCCTCTCAGAAACTTTGGTCATAGGATCACAGTGGCTGCAGCTGCCTGAGGCTGGCTGGTTTCAACTTTCAGGCAACTCTTTGAATGTGGGATTTTTATTTCAGTTTATATCTCCCAAGTTTCAATATGAATAAGCTCTAAGACTCAAAGCAAATCTCAGCATACTGAAGTTTAGTAATGGTTCCATCTGAAACCAGACATCATCCATAATGTGTGCAAGAGGTGACCCAGGTTGATGGAAAGACGTTTAGAACTCTACAAGACATTTAATGAACCTGAGTTGCATATCAAACTGTGTTTTATTTTTTAAGAAAAAGTGGTGAGTTTTGCCTGGTTTTTGGTTTTGCTGTCATGATTGTGCACAAATGAAACTATGACTACATATTTTATTAAGGGAATATGTTTGCCATTTGCC